CTCATGGGAAAATACATCTACTAGGCTTGCTTGCTAAGCTGAATCATCACAGTGAGAAATACAAGCTGCCTGCTAGCTTTACCTGATGGATCATCACTTGGGAAATGTACAATAGGTTGCTGCATTGTTCGGTACAAATAACTGTACATGGGTATCTATCCTCCATCAGGAAGAAGACAGTTGGACTCTTCATGTGATATAACTTAGTTTGAAAGTGTTTGAAATGTGATGTTGTCGTTTGAAAGTGTTTACAATACACCAGAGTTGATGTTGTGCATAAAAAGCAAATATATTTAGCCAGGGCTCTTTTTGTAGAAAAAGCCCAACAGGAACTCATTAGCATAATAGACCACACCCAACAGCAGAAACTCATTAGCATATTGGACCACACCCCTGACAGCACAGCTCATTAGAACATTAGGCCGCACCCCCATGTTACCAGAAGTGTGGTCATCCAGCCACACCCACCTTTTGCTTGTTATTCTGTTTACCTTGTTTGTTGTCAAAACCCAGGGCCTTTTTTTGTAGCAGGAACTCCTTTGCATGTTAGGCCACACACCCCTAATGTAGCCAATCCTAATGAGTTCCTGCTGTTGGGTGTGGCCTATTATGCTAATGAGTTCCTGCTGGGCGTGGCCAACTCAGGAGCCAGCCGGAACTCCATTCCTGTGCGTTCCTGCCCAAAAATAGCCCTGTATTTAGCTATAAGTACACGTGAATATTGTGTTTATTATTTCAACACGGTGTTTTCTGTGTTTATCTAACTTAGCCCCGTTCCCTGTGTGCTTGTTGTGCTTCCCCTTATCAGCAGCAAGGGGGGGGGATGGCAATCATCCAGCCCAGAGGGCCTTGTGTTCTCAGCTTTTCTAGTCCACCATTCGACCCACCTGCAGCCGCCGCATTATCTTGGGCCAAGGAGCCACTTTGAGCTGCTGGTGGTCAGGATTCTGCGTTCCACCGTGGTGTCTTGACGCAAGCTTTTTTCACAAGAATACATTCTCCTCTGCAGGTTGGCATTCTGCTAGTTGAGCGTGTTAGGGAAGAACAGGTGGCTGTTACCTTAAAAAAAGAGAGAGGGAGCTAATACTAGAGCATGTTAAAACAAGACTGGTGTGGGTTGACGGCGTCATTTCAGAAGAACACCTCCAGGCTGGGCTGGCCTTGGCCTTGTGTTTGGGCAGCAGATCCTAGAAGGCGGCATCATTTCCTTACCTGCATCCTCTTTTAAGTAAAGAGCCTGGGCAGAATTATGCATTTTGGGGGTTGTGCTTTGGGTACCACAATTTCTCAGGCTGATCCTGGCTCCTTTCCCGCACACCTGCAGCCAGGAACTGGGAAGCATGTCACGTGCCCCCCCTTTCCAGCTAGTGAGGTATGATCTCTTGGGGTGACCTTTCTTCCTTTGTGTCTTTGGGAAGTGAAAATATAGTGTAAGCACCATTTACCCTTTAAGATTTGGAGGGCATGTAGGAACTGTGTTTGGTGTAGTTTGGTGTAGTGGTTAAGTGTGCGGACTCTAATCTGGGAGGACCGGGTTTGATTCCCCACTCCTCCACTTGCACCTGCTGATGCGACCTCGGGTCAGTCACAAGCTCTGGCACAGCTGTCCTTGAAAAAGAGCAGTTTTGTGTCAGAGTTCTCTCAGCCCCACCCACCTAACAGGCAATGTTCCCTCTAAGCTGTGGAGTCTTCTGAGCAAATATTCTACTTTGTGAGCTACCGGCATTCAGGCTGTGAGCGAGCGATTTGGCTACTGCATGAATTAGTTTGCTCCGGAGCCGTCCTTCCTGAGCTGGGACAAAAATGTGCGAATCAGAGGCTAAAAAACTGTGAACTAGCTCACACTAACTCAGCTTTGAGGGAACACTGCTCACAGGGTGTCTGTTGTGGGGAGGGGAAGGGAAAGGATTTTGTAAGACGCTCTGAGACTCCAAGTGAAGGGCGGGGTATAAATCCAATCTCTTCTTCTTCTTCTTCATCTCCACTCTTTTTTCCTCCTGGCAGCGGGTTCAGGATGTCCGGCATTTGCCTCTTCGCTACTGGCTTCTGGTTCTCACCATCATGTTCTTCTACAACGGAGTCTTCCCCTTTGTAGCAGATGCAAGGTATGGTTCCTGGCAGTTCTGGAAACAAGGCACAGTTTTTAAGCATGTTCTCTTCTTCTTGGGGGGTGGAGACAATTGAGCCCTGCCTCCCACTTGCTATGGAGAGAGGACTTGGTAAACTACTTCCTGCTCGGTCCGTTTAAGGGAGGGAAGCCCCTTGGTTCCGGTCCTGTGTCATGGTAGAGCCAGGGAGGCAGGCATACAGGGGGAATCACAATACAAGTCCAAAGGTCAGCCGGGAGAGCAGTCAGCAGAGCATTAAACAAGTCCCAAAACACCAGACAAAGCCGTAGCCAAACGTTACCAGAGGTCAGAGTACAGGGAGCAAAGCCGAGGGCGTGGTCAGGTTCAAAGCTGGAAGTCAGGAGCCAGAGCAGTCCAAACACAAGCCGAGTCCAAAAGCCACAGAGTCAAACAGGAATCAAGGTGCAGAGCTTCTGGTTCTACGAACGAGGTTGCCAGCACAAATTGCTCATGGCCAGAGGCCCTACTAAATAGTGCTCTGGCCCATTAACTCATTAGCACCTTTGTGCGAGGTCCTGGCTGCTGTTAAAACTCAGGGCTCAAGGATCTCCGCCCTCTTGAACGTGCTTCTTTTCGTCGGCTAGCCAGCTCCTGACGTCTCTGATCCCTAAGCCTACTTACAGGTGGGGGAGATGCAGGTGGTGAGCTGCTTATGGCCTGCTCAATCCCAGGTGCAAACCGTCCTGTAGTTGACTCAGATTGCTGTGTATCCTCCTCAGTACTTACAGTAGGTGCAGATCCTGATGCTTCTTCAGCTCTTAAAGGCACTGAATCCTCCTCTCTTAGGCTGTCAGGAGCTGGCTCTGGGGCTGAGTCAAGGGCAGGCATGACATCCTGCCTGCTTCAAAGCCACAGGGCTCCTGCTCTGAGAATATTCTTTTAAAAAATAATCGTGGCAGCAGCTTGGCTAGAATGTTATTTGCACTCAGCCGCACATTGTGGCATAGTGGTTAGAGTGCTGGACTTTGACAGGGGAGAACCAGGTTCAAAGGCCCACTCTGCCATGAAGCTGGACTGGGTGATTTCAGGCCAGTCATTCTCAGCTTAGCCTACCTCACCGGGTCGTTGTGAGGATAACACGGGAGAACGGAGCCGCGAGTTCCTTGTGGGAAGGATGGGACAGAAAGGTGGTAGCTCTGCCCGGTCCCTGCGAGGCTAGATCCCACTGTGTATTTGCTGAGCAACAGCTAGAGGAGGAGACTGCTTCTAGCCAGCAAGAAGTGGATGGCGCTTCCAGGCTAGTTGTGGGTGGGAGCTACAAGCATCCCAGTCAATTAGCAATCAGTGTTCCCTCTAAGCTGAGTTAGTGTGAGCTAGCTCACAGTTTTTTTAGCCTCCGGCACACACATTTTTGTCTTGGCTCAGGGAGAATGGCTCCAGAACAAACTAATTTATGCAGTAGCTGAATCGCTGGCTCACAACTTTAGTGCCAGCAGCTCACAAAGTAGAAATCTTGCTCACAAGACTCCACAGCTTAGAGGGAACGTCCTCCTGTTTTGGCTCGCAGAGGGACCAGCACCTTGCGCGTGGAACAGAAAGCCCAGCTGGCTGCGGAGACGGGCAGGAGCCGCTCCTGGGCCAGATGGGGTTGCCAAGCCAAGCCAAGGGCAGAGAGCACAAAAAAGGGCTGGATCGGAGCCAAACCCACCCACCATTGCTGCAAGGACTCCGCTCACACCTAGCCAGTGGACGTACAGGGGGAAGACATGGTGATAACCTGCTTGGGTTAAGGAAAACGCCCTGAACCCACTTTGCCTTTCTGTCCACCATCACTTTTCAAGGCAGTCCCTTTGCACAGCACAGTTCTGTTTTACTCGGGTGTGTACCCACTCCGACCAGGGTCAAAATGGCTCAGGTAGTCGCAGACAGGGAGCATGTAGGAAACCGAAGTCCTGATGACTTTTTGGAGGTACTCCGAAGGAGGCTGAGAGTGGAAGCCGTCCCCCCTTGCAATGCAGCCGTGGCCATGAGCCCGCCATCGGGTGCTCTGATCTGCTTCTAAAAGTGCTGCGCTTGGCGATTCTAACACCGTGTTGCCAGTGGAAGCGGGGGGGGGGGCTGCACAGCCCTGGATGCCAGCCCGCCTCCCCCTCCTCGACCTTGGCGAGTCTCTCGCTGTCTTCTTCGGCATCAGCAGAATAGGCACATTGATTGCAGGGAGAGGGGTGAGTCTGGAAGTCGAGCAGAGGCAAAGCGCTGGCTCCGCAGAGAACAGGAGCAGTCCGTCGTCGTGCCGCTCCCGCTTTCCCGCAGAGGTGGCGATGAGTGCTGCATCCTGGGTCATTCCCCTCGACCTGGCCTGTACTGTGTCTCTGGTCCCAGGCAATGTTCCCTCTGAGCTGTGGAGTCTTGTGAGCAAACATTCTGCCTTTGTGAGCGACTGGCATGAAAGTTGTGAGCGAGCGATTTGGCTGCTGCATAAATCAGTTTGCTGTGGAGCCCGTCCTTCCTGAGCTAAGACAAAAATGTGTGAGCCGGAGGCTATGTGAGCTAGCTCACACTGACTCAGCTTAGAGGGAGCACTGCTCTGGAGCCACCCTTCCTGAGCTAAGACAAAAATGTGTGAGCCGGAGGCTATGTAAGCTAGCTCACACTGACTCAGCTTAGAGGGAGCACTGCTCTGGAGCCACCCTTCCTGAGCTAAGACAAAAATCTGTGAGCCGGAGGCTAAAACACTGTGAGCTAGCTCACACTAACTCAGCTTAGAGGGGACACTGCTCTGGAGCCCACCCTTCCTGAGCTAAGACAAAAATGTGTGAGCCGGAGGCTATGTAAGCTAGCTCACACTGACTCAGCTTAGAGGGAGCACTGCTCTGGAGCCACCCTTCCTGAGCTAAGACAAAAATCTGTGAGCCGGAGGCTAAAACACTGTGAGCTAGCTCACACTAACTCAGCTTAGAGGGGACACTGCTCTGGAGCCCACCCTTCCTGAGCTAAGACCAAAATCTGTGAGCTGGAGGCTAAAAAACTGTGAGCTAGCTCACACTAACTCAGCTTAGAGGGAACACTGGTCCGAGGGTGCATCTCAGCAATGCCAGAAATGGATTTGGGGATGGCTTTTGTCACCAGAAACTGTTCTGAGATCGACTTTTGGGGTGGCTTTGATCGTGCGAAGCTGCCTTATACCAGATCAGACTACGGACCCATTCAGCAGTGTCTGTGGCCATTTGCTGTGAATCGCCTGGAGCAATGTTCCCTCTAAGCTGTGGAGTCTTGTGAGCAAAAATTCTGCTTTGTGAGCTCCTGGCATTAAAGCTGTGAGCGAGCGATTTGGCTGCTGCATAAATTAGTTTGCTCTGGAGCCCCCTCCTTCCTGAGCTAAGACAAAAATGTGTGAGCTGGAGGCTAAAAAACTGTGAGCTAGCTCACACTAACTCAGCTTAGAGGGAACACTGGCCTGGAGTACTGAAAAATAAGAGAAGGCTGGGCTATGAGCAGCCTAAGTCAATCCAGCCCATCCGTCAGAGGTTTAATGAAGCCAGAACTCTGCTAGCTCCCCCCCCCCTTCTGCCTAAGGGGTGGGGGAGTTTAAATGTTGTCTGGGGCTTGTTCTGACAGCTGCCAAGAGTAAAGCTTTGGCACGTTCCATTCCTGCAGTCCTTGAGCCCCTGCTGGGCCACACTGCTGCTGAACAATGAGTTGTGCTGTGGGGTGGTTGCTTTTCCATGCATAAAGGGGAGGGATATGAAGTGTGATGCGCCACAGGGGTCCCAGCAAACGCAGATTATACGCTGCAGGGCTCATCAGAAAGCACTGTGAGAATTCCCAGTGAACTGCTTCCAGAGACCCGGCTCTGGTGGTTGACCTTGAATGCTTGTGGTCAAATCGATTTTCTGGCGCTCTTTCTTGCAATATTTTTGAACAGACACTTGAAACAGCCGCATGTGGAGATGGGGCCACTGGTCCATCGAGGCTGGTATTCAATGTTCCCTCTAAGCTGTTGAGTCTTGTGAGCAAAAATTCTATTTTGTGAGCTACTGGCATTAAAGTTGTGAGCCAGCGATTCGGTTACTGCACAAATTAGTTTGCTCTGGAGCCCTCCTTCCTGAGCTAGGATAAAAATATGTGAGCTGGAGGCTAAAAAACTGTGAGCTAGCTCACACTAACTCACCTTAGAGGGAATACTGCTGGTATTGTCTGTTTTTTACCATCTCAGGCTAGGGTCCAGCTCTTACTGGCACCCATCAACTAGACCTGCTGGGGATCAAACCTTGGCTCTTCTCTGTGCAAACTTCACTGTAGCCTCAAGTCACATGATGTCCTGTGAGCCTCTGCACATGACAGATGGGTTTACTGAAGAGTGAGGTATTTTATACCTTTCAGAGGCTCACATTCGTAGTCTAGAATGAGTTGAAGTGGCATTAGGGGCCCCTGCTCTCAGTACAGGACACCCAAAATTAAAGCATATGTTGTTTTGGCAGCCCATGTATGCTCTTGAGAGCCAGTTTGGTGTAGTGGTTAAGTGTGCGGACTCTAATCTGGGAGAACCGGGTTTGATTCCCCACTCCTCCACGTGCACCTGCTGATGTGACTTTGGGTCAGTCACAAGCTCTGCCACAGCTGTCCTTGAAAAAGAGCCGTTTGTGTCAGAGCTCTCTCAGCCCCACCCACCTCCCAGGGTGTCTGTTGTGGGGAGGGGGAGGGAAAGGAGTTTGTCAGCTGCTCTGAGACTCCTTTGGGTAGTGACGAGCGGGGTATAAATCCAATCTCCTCCTCTTCTTCTTTTACCTCACGGTGTCTGTGGTGGGGAGGGGGAGGGAAAGGAGTTTGTCAGCCGCTCTGAGACTCCTTTGGGTAGTGACGGGCGGGGGACAAATCCAATCTTCTCTTCTTCTTCTTGTATTGAGGGAGGGAAAATACATACATCCCCCCCCCCCCCCCCCCCCGCACCGTTCCTGTCATGAGGGGATGGTTCTATGGGGAAATATATCTGGCTTCAAACTGGGAACATCAAACTCCTCTGGAGCCCTTATTTTTTCATTTAAAACATTTTCATGCTGCATTTTCACCCAACTTGTGGTCTCCGGAGCATTGAATACTGGGAACCATTAAAGCAAGCTTTTAAAAATACATACGATAAAAACTAAAACCAACCATTAAACACACAAGCATTTAAACAGAACAGATAAACAGGAAGGAGTAAGTGAACAGCGAATGAAACTGATTAAGTCTTTACGCACTGGTAGTAGACCTTGATTGAAGTGACAGATGAACTTCCCAAAGATTCTGTGCCACAATTGAGAAGGCCCTCAGGTGGGCACTCAAAGGAGGGCCCCTGAAGATAACCACAGTTGTCTTCTTCACCCAAAAAGTGATTAACACATGGAATTCACTGCCACAGGAAGTGGTGGCGGCTACAAGCATGGACGGCTTCAAAAGGGAATTAGATAAGCATATGGAGCAGAGGTCCATCAGTGGCTATTAGCCACAAGGTATAGATAGGGGCTCTGGGGCGAGTGATGCTCTGTCTTCTTG